AGATATGCTGAAATGTGTTTAATTAAAATTGGAAGCAAAATTTCTAGTCTTGTAGGCATGCTCGGGTAGAGGAGGGGTGGGCAAATGAATGCAGAGGGCACCTAAACTCATTCCCAGTATGATAAACCACAGTTTATCATTATGTCCAAACCTCGCCCTTGTTTCCTAGGTCTTAAACTTGAAAATGTTATTGGAGAACTGCTAAACGTATAGCAAGCAGGAACGGAAAAAGGTTTAGAATGTGTGGGTTGTTACACAGAGAGAGTCTTGGATACCTGCCTCATACTTTTTATTAGTAGTGTGGTACATCTTGTTTCTTTAAACATGTGAGAAATAGTTCCATGCTGATCTGAAGTGTCCATGTTTTCAAGTTTTACTTTCTAGATATTGGATGCAATCTACCCAAAGTTGAACACTTTAAAGTTTAAAGTTCTGTTTCAATGACATCATAATACACCATTATTTTATGATGACACACCTTGCACTTCATTTATAATGTAAGTCACAGAATGTGGAAATCAACACAAAAACCATGAATTAATTCTCGTATTGTTTAGTACCCAGCAGTTTCTTCCATTTAGTCTTTTCAGCTTTGAAACAGAGCATGTCTAAATTAGATTGGGACTGAATATCCTCCTCTTCCTCCCAATACATACATACTTTTGGAGTGTTATTCATGTCTTACAAAAGTGCAGGGCTTTCTTAATGGCTTTGTGGGTTTTGCTCTTTTGTTTTTGAAATCCATTTATTTCTGTTGAAGGAACTTTCTATTCTTTCACAGGAGGCAGGTTCTTTGTACTTCCCCCCACTTCGTTATACAGTAAAAAATGCCTTTGTTTGGTAGAAGTCAACAGAATAGGCTGTGGTGTGTGCTTGGTTGTTGTTTGTGTGTGGTGCTCACAATAGTTTCTCTGGTTTGCAAATGTGTCCATCGGGCCAAAAAGGTTGGTGACTATGTAGATTATTCCTGCTTTGTATCACTCCTTAGGTGTGTTTGGTTCGGGCGGCTTGACCATAATCTGTGCTCAGTATAGCAGTGTTTTTGTTTTTTTAAAACCCAGATGCAGCAGATTAAATTCTCTGGCAATTTCTGTTTCCTCCCATTCTCCTGTAAGCCGTCAAACACAAAGTATCTGAGTGTTAGAGATAAACCGGGGAAGGAAAAGCAGAAGAACATGTAGAAAAGCTTACTGTTAGCTTAGTTTACTGGTACGTTTGATATTTGTAGTTTTGCAGATTCAGATTAGAATCTTGGTCTTCTGCAATTTAGCACTGCAGGTGGCAACAGGATTCAGTCTGAACAAATGATTTTTTTTATAAAGTATTTTGTAGCCAGTTTGAATATTTTGCAATTAACATAGTAACAGTTGCAGTTTGTTTCGGGAATAGACAGTACTGTCAGATCACAAAGATCAAAGAGAATGTGTCTGTTCTGGCTACAATCTGAAGCTCAGTAAATACTAGTAAAAACTGTCCTTTTTTCTAGGTTTCCTTTTAATGAGTAACTTTAAATATGTGAGCTCCCTGTACCCCTGGCAATGTAAAGTCCTATAATTTCTGTTGGTTTTGACACTGACTTGATGCAAGTGTCAAGTGGGATCATGCCCACTCTTTCCTCCTGTTTCCCACCCAGATCCACCTCTCCTTTCCCTTTTCAGTATTAGCCATGGTGTAAAACCCCTGGTGAAGAACTTGTGTCCCTCCAGATGTTGCTGAACTATAAGTCCTCAACCAGCATAGCTAATGATGATAATGGGAGTTGTATTTCATCAACATCTGGACACTCAGAGGTTAGCTAGCCCTAGTGTGAACTTAAATCAGCACCAAAGCTCTATTATTATTATTATTATTATTATTATTATTATTATTATTATTTATTATTATTTCTAAACCACCCTTCACCTGAAGATCACAAGGTGGCTTGCCATATAAAAACACAAAAATACATAACATAGTAGCAAACAAGAACAATGCCCCCCTCCTGTTTTAAAGGCCATAGATAGTTTAATTAGCTAAAGGCCTGGGAAAAGAGGAATGTTTTTGCCTGGTCCCTGAAGATATATAATGAATGCTCTGGGAAGGGCATTCCACAAATGGGGAGCCACCACAGAAAACGCCTGTTCTTGTGTTGCTTCCCTCCAGACCTCTCATGGTGGAGGCATACGAAGAAGGGCCTCAGATGATGGTCACAGGGTCCAGATTGGTTCATATGGTGAGAGGCAGTCCTTGAGTTATTGCGGTCCTGAGCTGTTTAAGGCTTTTTAGATCAAAATGAGCACTTTTAATTGTGCTTAGAAACTCACTGGTAGCCAGTGCAGTTGGGCTAGGATTGGTGTTATATGCACAAACTGTCTTGCCCTAGTGAGTCACTGAATTCTGCACTGAGAAAGCTAACAATTGTTTGCTTTACACTAGAGTTTGAAAGCAGGATTTGGTGCTGGTTTACTAATGATTAAAGAAACCATGGCACAGAACTATGCTACTGTTAATACTGAAAAGGAAAAGGAGGGAGAATTTCTATGAGTCAGCAGGATGCTCCTTGTTTGCTAACTATGGTTATTGTCTGTGATCATACTTGGCCAATTCTGCAACAACTTCACTGATTGCTAGCTTGCTGAATGCAAGGGCCTGGTGCTTAATTACTTTTAAATCTGGTCACAGCCTGTGATCCACATACCTTAGAAAGTACTTCTCCCTCTGTTACGCCCCATGGTAGTTGTGATTGCTACACTGGACTCTGTTTTCAAGCACGTTTGCTATGGAATTATCAGCTGTCAGAAACAGGGTCTTCATTACTGTCACCTCATGGCTCTGGAATATCCTCCCAGATGAGATATAGAGTCCTTTCTCTCTCATTTCTTTTGGGATAGTTCTTATTCCAGATGGTATTTGGTTGTTATGATCTATTATGCTTTTGTTATAATTTTCCTCTTCTAAGTTATCTGTTACGAATTTCCTGTTTTAGTGTGATTGTTGCATTTGAAATATGTGTGTTGAGTTGCCTTGAATTGAGGACAGTAGCCTATAAATACTTTAGTGTAATACAAATAATTAGGTGCTACTTGTAAACACACAGATTGTGAAGTGTAAACCATGCCTGTGAAGACCTGCTTGGATTGATTGTATCCCTTGGTGAATTAGTTCATCATGAAAATACATTCCTGTAGTTCCTTGTGAGGGAATTTACACCATTCATTTGAATCATTTGTTCAACTCTCTGCACACAAATTCAGCCTAGCCTGGTATGCATTCATTGCAATAACCCTGAAATTCACCAAGTAAACGATATATACCCATGTGATCTTAATAATTTAAGCTTTTAAGAAGTTCTAGTTCTTAAATTAGGATACTCCAGAAATCAAATTAAAAGGTTTGTATTTATTTATTTATTTAGAATACTTATGTCCCCTTTTATTGTCCCAGAAGAGACTCAAAAGTGGTTTGCAAAAGATTTTGTAGTATTAGGAACAGAAATAACATCAAGTCCATATGGCACCAGATTTATAAGGGCAGCATTTCCTGCCCTCATCTTTGGTCTTTCCCGGTGTTATCAGGCAGCAGCTCCCACTGAAGCAAGAAGTGTGGTTCAGCAGCTAGACTTCATTCAGCCCATGATAGAAGCAAGTCTTCTCGTTTGTCAATTGCCAGGATTATGCTGTATAACAGCATGGATACATTGCAGAGGTCATAACTTGCTTTTCTGCAGCTGTCTTTTTATGCAGTATAAAATGCTAGGCATATTGTTAAGTTTTTTAAAGCTAATATTTAAATTTCAAATATCTGTCAACAATAACTTTTTTTATTAAACATATTTATATATCTCTAACTCATATAAATATCAAGGTGGTATACAACAATATATAAAATAAAATATAAAACACCATAAATGCAATACCAAACGATCATAAGAATCATAACACTGGCTAATCAAGAAGTTTCAAAAGCTGCATAGACCTGTTGGCATAGAAAAGTATTCAAGAGATGCCTGAAAGTCAATGGCAAGGCTGCTCTTCTGTACATAGAAGAGTTATCTATTTTCCGAAAGGGGCTTGAGTCTTCAGAAGCTTATCTTGTAATAAATCCGTTAGTCTTTAAGTTTTTGGTTTTGATGCAAGTGATTAAGATAGTTATAACTCAGGAAACATTTAATTCTTAAAATCAAAGAAGGCAGGGAGTCTAAATAAAACTGGGAACTATATTACATTTTAACCACACTGCTATACATACCCATTAAAAGAGATGCCATTTATAAAAGGCTTTGCATCTCTTATCAATGCACTCTATCCTTTTTTTGTTTTTGTACATAACATCATTCTATTGCCTCACTTTAAACAAACAAATAAACAAAGTGGGTGTTGATTTTGCAGGAAATGTTACTAAAGTGTACAGAAGGAAATGATCTATAGTAAACCGTGGGTTCTTTCACTGCTTCTGCTCCATTTGCTCCAAGGAGAAGTGAATGACTGACTCGGGAGATCCCATGTTAACACAATAATTTACTGATGCCTAGAAAATAAGGTGGGAAAATAGAATGTGAGTCTGGACCTGCACCAGAGCCCTCCTTGAGTACAAAATGTTGGTGGTGGTGGAAAATATAATCTGAACGCACACTCAGAAATTTTGTGAAATAAAGAAGTTCTCAAATAAAATCTGAGATTTTTAGGTTTTGTGCTTCGTGGGGAAATAACTTCTCTAAGCTGGTTATCTGGAATGGCTTTCCAGGAGTTCTCTCTCCCACACCTAATTCCCTTACAATATTGGAAATTACATCAGCAGCCTTATTACTACTAATAATAATTTGATTTCTTACCCTCCCTTCATCATAAGGTCCCAGGGCGGAGTATAGCAATTTAAAATTCAATCTTAAAAAGTTAAAACAAATTACATTTATAGGAATAGGGTGGGTCCTGAAAAATATCTCAGGTGTTTAAAGCCAGGGTAAAAGGTGTATTATGCAGTATTAATAACCCTTAAACTTTCAATTTTTCTCTGTTTTACAGTTGTCGATATTTATCAGATGAGATTACACCTGCTATTCCTGCAGTAGGAGCAGTTCTGTTCTTTTTTGTTATGGGGACCTTGCTACGTACTAGCTTCAGTGATCCTGGAGTCCTGCCTCGTGCAACACCAGATGAAGCAGCAGATCTTGAAAGACAAATAGGTAACACTGAAGGTCTGTTGTTGTTCCATCATCTTCTTTGTAACTGTGTGTGTGTGTGTGTGTGTGTGCGCGCACACACACACATGCATGCTGAATGGCAACCTCACATACTTGTTCTTTTTTCTAAAAAAGAGTGAGTTTTGTAATTTTTCAGTTCTAGGGCAGTGTTAACTGGAATGATCTGTCTTGTAGATTTTCAAAAGAAGCATTTGTGTTTACAGTGATATTGAAAAGGAGCAACAATGACTTCTACAGCACACTCTCAAAATTCAAAATGTGACTACTGGTCCAAAACGGTTACCAACCGCTGGTGGGGAGTGTCTGGCCAGGAATGGAGTGCTTATGTCAGGGGTGCCAACTTGAATAAAATATTGTGGGGCCCAGGTAAGCCCTGCCCCACATAATCAATCACATGACTCAGAGGACACAAACTGTTTGACTGGAAATGTCCACCAACTTTAGGGGAGGGCAGCCCCCTCAAATATTTTATTGTGGGGGCCAAAGCCTAGGAGTTGGCTCCTATGGGTTATGTGAATTCACTTTCAGGAGACACAGGCATATAGCAGTGTGGCTTTAATCTCTCCCTGCTGATGGGCAGGTGGGGACCCAGAGGACTGGAAGAAATCCAGCAGTGGGTCAAGGGTTCGCCATCCCTGATCTACACAGTTGGGGGTACTGTACATCTGGATCCATTGCTGTCACTTGAGGCTCAGGTGGCCATGGTGGTGCAAAGTGCCTTCCGTCAGCTTCTGCCAGTAGTCCAGCTGTACCCTTATCTGGGCAGGGATAGTCTAACTTCTGTTGTCCATACTTTGGTAACCTCTAGCTTAGATTACTGCAACAGGTTATATGTGGGGCTGCCTCTGAAAAAGGTTTGGAAACTAGCTACTGTATTGTAGATTTTAGCTGCCAAGTTGCTCACTGCGGCAAGACGGTTTGAGCATATAATGCCAATCCTGGCCCTACAGCACTGGCTGCCTATTAGTTTCTGGGCCCAATTCAAAGTGCTGGTCTTGACCTATAAAACTTTAAATAATTCTGGACTGCATCTATCCCCTTGTGAATCAACCTGGACCTTGTGATCAGCATATGAGGCTTTTCTTTGTGTGCCTCCTCCACAAGAGGTCCAGAGAGTGGCGACACAAGGATGGGCCTTTTCTGTGGTGGCTCCCTGCTTGTGGAATGCTCTTCCCAGGGAGGCTCGCCTGAAACCTTTGTCACATACCATTAGGCAGCAGGCAAAAACATTCTTCATCTCCTAGGCCTTTGGCTAATTAAACAATCTATGGCCTTTTAAATTGGGGGGAGGTGTACTTGTTTGTTATTATTCTATGTATTTTTGAGTTTTTATATTGTAAATTACCCTGTGATCTTTGAATGAAGGGCAGTATAGATATTTAATAAATAATAATCTAAGTCATGAAAATGCTGTATGTATTAGACAATGGTGGCTTTTGGTTTGTTTGCTGTCATTTTGGTGAGATACCTGTTATATGAAAGCTAGGATCTAAATGGCACCTTAAACCTAGGTTACGGCTGCAACAACGGAATGTCTTGGCGCGCTTTTTTAATAACAAGAATACAAAGCTGAAAATGAATGAACTGCAGTTAAAATAATATGTTCATTTTTTACATGGTCCAGTCCTTCCCCTGCCCTCCCCCTAATATTTTTAAGGGGGAAGTGGGGAGGTAGAAAGGTCCTCCGTGCCTTCCACTCTGCAGTTTTAATCTGAAATCTCAGGCGCAGTACTGCACCCAGAGCTCAGAAACTGCTTGCACTAATGAAATTCCCTGTCACAAAATGCGCCTAGAGCAATGGGATTTCAAACACTGAGGATAATGTTGTGTCATTGTTTCATTAAGTTGTTTTATACTTTTTCTTTTTTATTACTGTCCCCAACCCTCAAACATTCCATGAGCAAATGTTTAAATCACCCATAAATTAGCATATGGAGTTCACCATCTCCGATCTAAACTGTTGAAAAGCTTTTTATATTTGTGTAGTGATGGGCTAAATTCATTTTTTCTAACAGGAGGTAATGTCAGTTTTTACATTAGAGGTATTCCTCTGTCTTTTATTTATATATATGCAGATTTATAAATTCCTTCACAACCAAAAGTTACTGAGGTGCTGTACAAACAGTACAATACAATAAATTAAAATAAGACAAAATACAAAAATTACAAAACCCAATAAACTAAAAGCAATATAACAATTCCTGCAATTGTACAGTTATCATTTCATTTTTAAAAGCCTTCTCGTACAAAAATATCTTCAGTAGCTGCCTAAACATCAAGACACAAAGGGGCTGGGTAATTTGGTTTGATAACTGGAACATACACTTTAATCCAGCAAAAGTTCTAAATTGTTTTGCCAGGCTCCAATATGGGCCACTTCAGAAGTTTCAAAAAAGCAGGATTGGAGGAAAAGGAAGTAGTTAATTCTTCCATTCCCATTTCCTCCAAGACCCATGAGAAATGCACATTTTTGACATCACATTGGGCAACATGTATCTGCCCCTGTCATCAAGAAATGACTGAAGTGCAAGTCATTCCTACTTCCTCTCTATCCCTACTTCATTGGAACACCGAGATAATCCCTTAGTGTTTGCTTCAACTAATTTCCTCCATCTTCCAGCAGATTTGAGATCAAATCTGTAAGTCTGGGTAAATATCCAATGCAGCACCATTGGGGGCTTTTTTTGTATTTTTTTCTCCTGGAACAATGTTGCAACATTAAAGCTTGCTTTCAGCATTTTAAATGTAGATGGTCCAAATAAAGTGTTCGTTTGCTTGCTTTGAATGAGCCAACTGCTGTTCCCTCTTTCCCGCTATAAATAATGAAACTGCATAATAAGCCTTTGGAAACAGCTGTTAATACAGTATAAATAAGTTAGAAGAGAATGTTTTATGTTGAAAGGTACTGTCTTGCATCTATTCCTGTAGTGGTGAAACCAGATGAAGTTACAGGTTAGGAAACCAGGGAGAAAATTGCACGTAGTTTTCTTGGCTAAGAGCACAGACTTTTAGACTGATAACAGTATTTATGAACACTTGCAAATGGAGGGATTTAGCATTTGTTCACTGTACAAGTTTGAGGAAGGAGATAAGCAAAGAAGTTCGTCCTCTAAATAACATTTGCATATGTATTTGTATGTATATTTATGTGAGGGCTGAATTAAGAATAGAGTTTGGAGGACTTGGTCAAGGACCTTTTTCATTAGGTTGGGGCATGGTTAATTAAGGTCATACTGAATCTTATTAACATCAGGAACTATTCAGGGGCTTGTCATTCCTACCCTAATATTACAAGGCATAAGGTTTTATTGTGCCACTCTGCTTATTTATGTGTGTACTCTGGCAACCAAGACTACTTTCAGTTGGTTATTAAATTTAAAAAGATCCAACACGTTGTGATTATCTTAGAGCATAATGCAGAATAAATGTGTTAGGTGCTATCTTGCCATGGCAAATACGAGTATCTGGGAATTTGAAAAATTCTTTGAGCAGATGCACTGGAGTGGATGCTGTCTGATCATCTTGGATGTCATTACATTTATACTTCAGCTTTAATTTGATGTCTTCAGTTCATTTAAGGATTTCTAATTTAATGAGTTCTTCAGTTTGGGCACAAAGTACTTCTATTTGGGATAGTTAATTGCACTCATGGTATTGATGTGGACATATTAGTAGTTGGTTTAAGTGATCATTATGCAATTTGATTAAGTTTCTGTTCTTACCAAACAGAGTGGCAGAAGTATAAAGAGCCTTCAGATGTTAGCTAGTCACACAGAATGCAGTGTTTGTTTTTTAAAATCCTTATTAATTGGAGGATTGTCACAGATTTTTCCTGTTCTCAGGTACTGCAAAATAGGCCATATTAACTACCCTTACAAAGCATGCTGCTTTTGTGTACTAACACTGTGGTGTTCCTGCATAATAAATAAAGTCATTTTCCCATTTGCTCTCAATGTGCATGCCACGTTTTTATAGAGTATTTTAGGTCAGGAAGGGATAATGTTCACACAAGTACATGCATTCAAAATTGCTGTGCCACAGATTCCCTGTGATGCCCTTGTTTTCTAAGGGAACTTGCTATTACACATTACAACATTGCTTTTGAGAATTCCCAAATGAGTTTAATCTGTCCTGTAAAGTTCAGAGTAAGTAATAACTAAAGAAATAAGAATTCTAGATGCCAGATAACCCAGTTTGTTCTGGTTTTCTTCCCATCCTCCTCCCTTGCAAAGGTATGGATACAAAAGCATCACATTCAACTAAATGAAACAGTGTTTGACCTTGGTTTATCAATTGTGAAAGCAGGGACCCCTTCTAGTGTGGACTAATGTCACAATAACCATACATTACGCAGAAGTAAAAAGGTAAAGGTACCCCTGCCTGTACGGGCCAGTCGTGACCGATTCTGGGGTTGCGTGCTCATCTCGCTTAAGAGGCCGGGAGCCAGCGCTGTCTGGAGACACTTCCGGGTCACGTGGCCAGCGTGACGAAGCTGCTCTGGCGAGCCAGCACCAGCACAGCGCATGGAAACGCCGTTACCTTCCCGCTATAAAGCGGTACCTATTTATCTACTTGCACTTAGGGGTGCTTTCGAACTGCTAGGTGGGCAGGAGCTGGGACCGAATGACGGGAGCTCACCCCGCCGTGGGGATTCGAACCACCGACCATATGATCGGCAAGTCCTAGGCACTGAGGTTTTACCCACAGCGCCACCCGCAGAAGTAATCCCCACTAAATTCTATAGGGATGGCTACCAAGTAGGCCTGGAGCCTGAACTGATCAATCTTAAAGGTGTCACACAGAACTGTTAACAAGGGCCCCACTAAACTTTCAGCCCTATGGAAAAAGTTTATCCCCCCCACCCCAACTTTTTCGCTTCTATGGCTTCCCCCCCCCCATACTGTGGAAGGATAATAAATGGACTAAGGTGTAGGAGACCAGGGTTAAAATCATGGTTCATCTATGAAGCTCCCTAGGAGACCTTGGACTATTCATTGTCAGCCTTTGTCTCAGGGCTGTGAGCAGAAAATGTGAAAGAGAATCCCAAATGCCACCATAAGTTGTTAGTAGTACAGAACAGAAATGTTTTAATTGGAGGAGATATGTCCTCAAAGCATTTAGAGCAAAGTGCAAATTTGCCACCACCAACAAAAAGTTGCCTTGCCAGCAAAAAGGGCGCCTCAGAAGGTGCCAAGTGCTCTGCTGGAGTTAAATCAGGTCACAGAAGGCCTCTCAGGGCCACAGATGACAATAAAGATGCAGCAGAATTAACAGCATTAGGAAGAGCAACAAGGGTTCTAAGTATGACTTTGTGTAGCTACACTCATCTAACAGATTACATCTAACAGATGTGAATGACAATCGGACTCACTTGTTTTAAGTCAACACACAAAAACTGGCTGTGTGAAGGTAGCAACATGAATAAGCAAATTCTTTTGGGTTTGGTTGCTACCTTTCTACTCTGAAATAAGTATTACTGAATTCAATGGAGCTTAAGGTAAAGGTAAAGGTACCCCTGCCCGTACGGGCCAGTCTTGACAGACTCTAGGGTTGTGCGCTCATCTCACTCTATAGGCCGGGAGCCAGCGCTGTCCGCAGACACTTCCGGGTCACGTGGCCAGCGTGACAAGCTGCATCTGGCGAGCCAGCGCAGCACACGGAAACGCCGTTTACCTTCCCGCTAGTAAGCGGTCCCTATTTATCTACTTGCACCCGAGGGTGCTTTCGAACTGCTAGGTTGGCAGGCGCTGGGACCGAGCGACGGGAGCGCACCCCGCCACAGGGATTCGAACCGCCGACCTTTCGATCGGCAAGTCCTAGGCGCTGAGGCTTTAACCCACAGCGCCACCCGCGTCCCACACAATGGAGCTTACTTCCAGGTAATTAACTCCATCTATAGCACCTGTCTGAGTGTCTCCCAAAGTAAAACAAAACAATTAAAACTATTAATTAAAATAAAAACACAATTAATATGTGATTTAAAACATTGTTAAAAGTATTCTTCAGGTTAAAACTTTTTCAATACACTTTTAAGATACAGATATTGCAAATAAATAAATATTATGGGTAAGACAAATATATGCATATAACAATATGCATGTAGTTTAGCACTTTATGCAAGGGTGAAACTAGGCTTTATTTCACCCAGGTCAAAGACCCAGTTTGGCATACACACTCCCCACATACATTTGTGTACACACACACACACACACACAGGCTGGGAGTCTCAGTGGTGCCCTCTGGAGGCTTTACCCGGGGCGAGAAACCCGGCTAGCGCCCCCCCCCCCCCCCGCTACAGCACTGCTTATGGTTGGCACAGAGGTCTCTTACCGTGTTTGTCCTTAGAGAATGAAATCTACAATCGGAAAATAATACCTATGCAGGTTAACTTGGAAGTAGGGCCCGTTGAGTTCAGTGCGGTCACCCCCCCCAGTAAGTTAGCATAGGACTATAGCCTCCTGAAAAGAATCACACAGTACTGTATGGATGCAGGAATGATCATAATGCTTAAGATGTTTGGGCTAAACACCTTCAGGACTAATTTCCCTCCCAAGGAAATGTAGGAATTAACAGATTTTTCTGCATGTCATCTTGGTTGTTGACACTGCATTTGGGCCAATAAAACCTTCTCATATAACATCATGTTTTCAATCAAAAGAAGACTTAATATGGTTCAGTTTGTTGTATATTACCCTCCTTATTTATAAAAAGGATTTAAAGGACAATTTTAGTTAGCTATTTCCAATTCATATAGATTATATTAAAAATTACAATAATGTACTTCTTCCAAATATACTGGATGAAAACTCAATCTTTTGACTTCTTGTTTTTATTTCCATATTTAGAAATTGCAAATGGCTCCAGTTCAGGAGGGTATCGTCCACCTCCCAGAACAAAAGAAGTACTCATCAATGGGCAGACAGTGAAGTTAAAATACTGTTTTACCTGCAAGATTTTTCGCCCACCTCGTGCCTCACATTGCAGCCTTTGTGATAACTGTGTAGGTGAGTAAAAACACACACAAAAATAATATACAGATCTTGCTAGCTATAATGAAAGATTAATATATACTGGTCAGTATATTTTGGTGTTTCTCATGATGAAAAGGAGATTCCGACTAAACAGCAGGAAGAACTTTCTGACAGTAAAAGCTGTTCAACAGTGGAACAGAATCCCTTGGGAGATTGCTGACTCTCCTTCACTGGAGGTTTTTAAGCCGAGGTTGCATTGCAGGGGGTTGGACTAGATGACCCTCAGGATTCCTTCCAGTTCTATGAAAGTATAACTTTTTTGTGTATTTTCGGGCTTGATAGAGCCAAAAATAAAGTTTTCAACCTGCTAAACTTTTCTGTTTGTGCACTATATAGATTCCTTTTCAATTCAGTTTTCCTGTTTGAGCATTCCCTCTTGTTAAGAGTCACAGTGATTCATCTCTCAATTCTTTGTTCAATTTGAAATAAAACCATGGAGCTTTGGGTTGATTCAGAGCCACAGGCTACACCTGTCACATTTATAGTAGGAATCTTTTGTGAGTCAGAACACCTGGAAACCTGGAGCAAAACAAAGAAAGCTTAAATGTAACATCTATTTTAACAGGGCATACATTTTTGCAGTAAAAATAAAAGATAATGCACTGTCCTAGCTTTCTTACTCGTTTGCTGTGGAATATAATGGCTTAACTTTGGTGTTGAATACACTGCCCTAACTTTGGTGTTGAAGGCTAAATAAGAGGAGATGTTTAAAGTTACGTACTTCAAAATATAGTTTGTGAAGCAATATCTCTTCTGTATTATAGACTGAATCTGTGTGGTGCCTGTGGAAACATATTTCATCCATAGTTACCCCCCCCAAGGCCACGTTGAAATCTGTGCTTAAAAGTAGTCTTGTGTACACACACACACACACACACACACACACACATTCTGCTTGTGGAGTCTATATTTCTTGTTACCTTTATATTTTATACTGTACTGTTATAGTATAGTATAGTGTGTATGAAAAAATGGAATTTTAGAAGTAATTTCCTCTTGGTTTTCTTCATGATACCACAGCATTGATTTCAGTAGTCTCTTCAAAACAAAGCTTTCTGCTTGAGTTACTAAGCCTTCTCTATACCATTCTTTTAAAATATCTAGTCTTGCAGCTTAGTATTTTAAGGGTCTCCCATTTCCCCATAGAGTGGTACCTCAGGATGCGAATGGGATCTGTTCCGGAGCCCCGTTCGCATCCCGAACGGAACGCAACGACGCGTCTGCGCATGCGCAGGTCGCATTTTGCCACTTCCGCGCATGCACGTGGCATCATTTTGAACGTCTGCGCATGTGCGAGCAGTGAAACCCGGAAGTAACGCGCTCCATTACTTCCGGGTTGCCGTGGAGTGCAACTCGAATGCGCTCAACTCAAAGCACATTCAACTTGAGGTATGACTGTATTTTGATATTTAAAAAGTTTTTAATTTTAATTTTTTTAAAGGTAAAAATAATTAAATGCACAAATATGGATTTTAAGGTTTTTTTGTACTTGCTTTCTGGAATAAATGTGAATTGATTTGTTTTACATCATTTGGGATACGGACACACCCACCCACACCCACCATAAGGGTGGGATTTTTTGGACCCTACTATTTCTATATCCTTATCCTTGTTTTTTGATAACTGTTCTTGTTGAACAAAGCTAGGTCTAATTCCAAGGTAATTTCTACTGTTCAAAGTAATCCTTGAAGAGTAATCCTTTAATGCCTTTATAATTAAAGATGTGAGGGTGATTACAACAGGTGATCCTTTTGTATTTCATGGTTTACTGACCATTCAAGAGGTATTCAAGGAGCTTGAACTATTCATGAAACAGATTTGTACTGAATGTGGCATCACGGTAAGCAACCATTGTTTCTTAGGTAGAAGATATAGGATGTGGTTTATGTGTCCTTAACCCAGAGAAAAACTTAAGATAATCTTGCAGCAATTTATCTGAAATGGGCCTTGACCAGTCTCTTGAACAGACAGACAGATTTTTCCCTCCAGGATACAAAAGCAGGGCAAAATCCAATAGCAACATAAGAAAAGCCCTGCTAGATCAGGCCAAGGGCAGTGACCAACCAGATGCCTGTGGAGTAACTGAGCACAGCAGCACTCTCTCCCCTTGCAATTCCCAGCAACAGACGTTCAGAGGCATATTGCCACCAACAGTGGAGGCAGAACATAGCCATCATGGCAAGTAGCCATTGATAGCCACCTTCGGGAAGGGGGAACTCCTGAGCTGTCTTCAACCAACTGATTCCACCAACACAAGGGTTTCTGCTTCTGCAAGAGGACTTGAATGCACCCTGCACCCTCCCTAAATCTATTCTAGAGGGTTGTGGGGAATGCCAGAATAGATATGGGGACATACGGGGGGAAGGAGGGGGAGAAGTTTTGTTGCACAAGTGAAAATCCTTGCACTGACAGAACAACTTAGTTGGATACTGCCCACTGTGTTAATTCCTCCCATTAACACACATAGTTCTGAATAGTTCTGTCATCAAATATTCTCTTTTAATGCTATCTAATCCTAATTGAAAACTATTAATATTCTACTTAGAAACAGAGAAATTGTATGAACAACTGCAGCTGGGAAACAGTCCAATATTAAATTTTGATAGAGCCCTTTCAGTTTCCTTTTTGGTTTTCTGTCCCTGAGTTTGAAGGTACATATTGTAAGGCCCATGAGCCGGATCAAGTCCACACAAAGTAAAAGAGAGCAAGGGGCTAATCTCAAATTGTGGCCTGAGATTTGGGGCACTCCCAAAAGCCCCGCATGAGGTCAAAGGTCTCTGCAAAATGTTCCCTTCTTCTTAGATTGAAATGGGGAAGATTAGGTTCAGTAGCAAATACCAGCTTGCTACCAAAGCCATGTGAACCTCTTCCCCTCTCACCTATGAGACAGTTGCTACACAATGCCTGCATGAATTTGTTTAGGCTATGGAAACAGCCTTGGAAGTCTGTGTATACCCCAGGGGCACTATTCTGTTCCAATTCTAGTAAAGCAAGTAAAAAATTTGCAGGAGCAGTTGACTTGCTAAAAATTAGTCTCTTAGTCTTAAACTCAAGTTCTTTGAAGGTGCTATGTATCTTTTCCCATATCTGCAGGAAATGATTACTAGCATTGAAATTGCAGGATTCGTATGTTGCTGCATTTACAAATGTTTCAAATGCAGGAAAAGACAGTATGTACTGCAAGCATCCACACTGGGTTTTTAAAAACAACAACAACAACAACAACAGATAAATGAAGAACAGCCCCAAAATGGATGCACATAAATTATGAAATCATAGGGGCTACAAAGGAAACCACAACATTACATATTGCCAAACAAGCACAGATGTGAATGATATCAATTGAATTAGCCAGGCTGCTGGTATGTTATACAAAGGCCCCTGTATCTTCTATCCCATTAGTTTTTCAGCAGTGGTTTTTGACAATACTGATTGGGTCTTTTGTGTACAAAAGCTGACTCTACCCATCCTCCCAACCAGTCATGAGAACTTCTCTTTAACATCTCTGATTCTGAGCTCATCCATACTGTCATCTGAGACTTTTTGTGGGTGAGCTGAGACTTTGCTGAACCCTGGGTGAGAACCTGGAGGCTGAGACGGAGGGTGTGTCAGAAGGAACATGGATTGATATAGATTTATATATGTTAGGAACCTTGTATTAGTGTTGAAGCAATGATTCTTCAACATCAACTTCGTTGGGCTGGTCATGTTGTGCGGATGCCTGAGGATCGTCTTCCAAAGCAACTACTGTACTGTGAACTTAAAAACGGAAAGCATAATGCTGGTGGTCAACAAAAAAGGGTTAAAGACTGTCTCAAGGCAAATCTAAAAAAATGTAGTATAAACACTGACAACTGGTAAACACTGGCCTGCGAGCGCTCCAGTTGGAGAATAGCCTTTACCGAAGGTGTCATAGGCTTTGAAGACACTCAAACTCAGGACGCAAGGGAGAAATGTGCTTGGAGGAAGCCATGCTTGGCAAATCCACATGATGTTTAACTCCCGCCCGGAAACCAATGTCCCCGCTGTGGAAGGACGTGTGGATCCAGAATTGGCCTCCACAGTCTCTTACGGACTCATTGTTAAAACCGTGGTTATGGAAGACAATCTTACTCGGCCACAAGTGATCACCAAAGAAGAAGATGATTAATGTAACAATTTTATATTTATTTGTGTATTTTTGTAATATTATGTTGAAGTTGTCTTTTGTTCAGTTTTTTGTACACTGCTTAGAGATATTTTTAATATATTAAGCAGTATATAAATTAAATAATCAAATTTAATGTTGATAGTAAGCTTCCTGTACCTCCATTCTCTCTTGTCCATATGACGTTCTTCTCCAAATCACTACATTCTCACACTCCCTGGACTGAGGCAGAATCATAGAATTGTAGAATTGGAAGGGACCATGAAGGTAATCTTGTCCAACCCTTTGAAATGCAAGAATCTTTTTGCCCAATGTAGGACTCAAACTCACGACTCTGAAATTAAGGGTCTCGTGCTGTACCAACTGTGCTATCCTGCAGAAAAAAGTGTTAAATGAATAGAGAGAAATGTAATTATTCCCTTTCCCTCAATTCCCTGTTCTATTCATGGCTTGTAAATTAACTGTACTTTGAAAGAGATATATATAAAAAAAGTAAGACTAAAGACAAAGGACTATGATAAAAATATGCATTTAAACATCCAATTTTGGTCATGTTTTTGTCATTTATATTCAAGCATTCACGTGAACATGTGATAGCAAAAACTGGGGATGGGCATATATGTGTGCCAGCAGCTCTTAAGATCATTGTATGATTAGTGCAAAGGGCATTAGAAGGTTTTAAAGCATGTTCAATTGATCCCAGGCTAATAAGGGTTTCTGTTCTTGAGAGTCTGAATGTGTTCAGTTGAACACACTTTAAATTCCGTACTGTAGTTGTCATGTGAAGATCTAAAAGCAGTTCATGTGACCTTGGGGGTGGGGCTTGCACACGCATCTTCCCCATCACCAGTTTTACTTGACTGCATCTTCAGGTAGACACCTGAACATGGCTGCAACGATTTTCTCAAGCAGGTCTGTTGTTGTTGTTTTTGTAATTGCGTTCCATTTTTCCCCTTCCTTTTCTTTCAGAACGGTTTGATCACCATTGTCCCTGGGTAGGCAACTGTGTGGGGAAAAGAAACTACAGATTTTTTTATATGTTTATTTTATCTCTGTCTTTTCTGACAGTCTTTATATTTGCATTCGTTATCACCCACATCATCCATCGTAAGTATGCTAGTACAATCAGATTACATATATAGCCATTTGCTTGAAACTCTATTTTTCGTTTTAATCTTTTGGACATTCAGGATATACCCAAAATAGTATACCTAGTTTGATCATTAACAAGACTTTCAACTGTTAAGCTTACTTCTTAATTCAGAAACTTAAGGGAAATGCATTTTATTCAGCTTCATTTGTTGTACTGCTGAACAGTTCATATAAAGGGAACATTCTGGCCCGCTCTCAGTTTTCCTGCAGATTGGTTTCATTGGTCTGTGACTGTTCCTTAATTTGTGGCCTGCCTTGCTGACTGGAAAACCCTATTGGCAAACAGAATAATTTCCAAAAGTTGGTCAACGTTCACAACCTGTTGTATTTGTTAATTTGCATATTTTATTATTAAACTTATATACCACCATTCATCTGAAGATCACAGGGCAGTCTACGGTATAAAAACACAAAGATACATAATAACAAACAAACAAAAACCCACAGGTTTTGAAGGCCACAGGTTATTTAATTAGCCAAAGGCCTGCGAGAAGAATGTTTTTGCCTGCCCCCTAAAGATATGTAATGAAATTGCCAGGTGATTTATATTCCTATGACAACCTACAAAGTAGTAAGAAACACAGTTTTACAATTTAATAAATTAATTAATAATAAATCGCATAGACTAATACAGCAAATTAAAATGGAAGTATCAGCAGCCTGTTCAATAAAATCAACCACTCTAAATGCTTACATTAGCAGTTGTTGTTTTTTAAGTCTGTGAAAACAGAAATGTTTTTGCCTGGTGTCTAAATGATAGCAAGAAGGTCTCTGAGTAGGCCTCCTGGCAATGTCTTTCCAAAAGCAAGGAAGCAAAGTGTGTCTCCAGTTTCCACCTGCCACACTTCAGATAGCAGGAGAACCTGGAAAAAGGCTGCAGATTATGTGGATTGATAAAGAGAGATGCCTCCAACAGTTATCTGGGTCCTAAATCGTGTAGCGTTTTAAAATTATTACCAGCACTTTGAATTGAGCTCAAAAAAATTATGGGAGGCAGTGGAGTTGCTTTAGCACAGGCAAGATGAAATCTCTTTGCCTGGTCCATGTTCACAGCCTAACCACAGTGTTATAGACTAGCTGCAATTTTCCAACTGTCTTCAAAGGCAGCCCCATGTAAAGCACATTGCAGTAATCCAGCTTCCAGGTTACCAGGGCATGGGTACATCTGTGGCAACAGAAGATCCTTTGTGCTCCATTTCCAGTCCAGCATCTTCCTGCCTAGTTGAGAGCTCCAGATCTACATTGTGACCTGCCATATTGGTTGGGCCATGACACATTGTGACAGCCCCATGGTTATCATGGCAACCATGAAGTCCTGAATATCTTCTGATAAGACTGATTCTGAAATAATGTTGAGGTCCCTTAAGAAAACCAGTTTCAACTCAGCCAGCTCAGGTGTGGAGACTGCTTGGTAGAAGGGTGGTTGATACACAAACAACAATCCCGCCATGTCCCTAGTATACAACACCAAGTACAAACACCCCAAATCAGCACCCAACCTAATAAGTAAGCATTGGGAGGGAGATGGAATCCCTACTGACCATAACTATATTTTTTTTGCCAATCATTTTTATAAACCATAGCAATGTTTCTTCTGCAACATGGTAGATAGCGTAAAGTGTAAAGCCAGGAGAGACTGGCTTTTTGTGCCCTGTCAAGTGATGATGAGATAGATTTGATGAGTCTCCATGACCAGATAATGATGTCTTACTGTAAACTGATCTTGCATTAAATAGCAACACGTTAAGGAATCCTGAGGTTATGTTATTGTGGAAGAGGATGGCACTAGAGTGGAACAGACCTTATATGCTGGCTTCTCCTTCTCTACCAGCCAGCACTTACTTACCCCACTTCTACCATAGCTCCCTCTGCCTGTAACCACTAGCTTATGTTTACAGACTCTTGTCTTTCCCCCTCCCCCATTTAACGCAGAGACATAACACAAAACTAATAAAGCAGATAAAATATTTTTAAGGGAGCGTATACAAGAGATTAGGGGGGACGCGGGTGGCGCTGTGGGTAAAAGCCTCAGCGCCTAGGCCTTGCCGATCGAAAGGTCGGCGGTTCGAATCCCCGCGGCGGGGTGCGCTCCTGTTGCTCGGTCCCAGCGCCTGCCAACCTAGCAGTTCGAAAGCACCTCCGGGTGCAAGTAGATAAATAGGGACCGCTTTCTAGCGGGAAGGTAAACGGCGTTTCCGTGTGCGGCTCTGGCTCGCCAGAGCAGCGATGTCACGCTGGCCACGTGACCCGGAAGTGTCTGCGGACAGCGCTGGCTCCCGGCCTATAGAGTGAGATGGGCGCACAACCCCAGAGTCTGGCAAGACTGGCCCGTACGGGCAGGGGTACCTTTACCTTTATACAAGAGATTGTGATAAACATTAAACATATGTTTAAAAATCCCAATTTCAATTGCACTTGAAATGCAAGAATTGGATAGCAGATAGGTCCATTTCACCAGCTCCTTTGACATGAACTAATGCTGTTTTTGAGGCCGACAGTCCAACAGATATTCCCTCCTGGAAGTAGCCTTAGAAAGCCCTGTGCTGTTCAGTTAGGTGGCTGGGACTTCTTGCCAGGGCACAGAGTCAACACAGTGCCCAGCTTTCTCTGTCCCTAAATGTCAGCAGTTAAAAATAGATCTGGACCTTAATTTGACAATTGCTTGTCATTCTTCTTTGCTGAACAAATTAATGAGTTAAAGCTGGCTCCTTGCATCATGTCTCCTAATTGTATCCAGAGAAATCCGTAAGCAGCTTGGAATTTGGGTCATATTATGATGCATTTACAGGATTTCCTGATCCAACAGAAACATTTTTGTGTGAGAGAAAATATATTTATGGATACCTTTCATGTTGAATAATAATCTTGCAATGTTTTTTCCACCATAATAGGATAGAATGAACAGATTGATAACAGAAAACTTATTTATGGGGAATTGGTGTCTGCAGACATTAACGTGTTACTATTGAGAAAACATCCAGCATATGTTAATTCTGGTTTTAAAACTTCCATTTTTGCTGAATAGTTTCAGTAAAATTTCAAGGCTAAATTTAGCAAAATTTGTGTTGTAGTTCTTTGAAACTCTAACTGTATATTGGATTTTGAGATTTGTTTTTATGTGGACAGTATATATTATCGTTTAATATTTACATTTATTCTTTCTACAGGATCTCAACAAACAGGGTTCTTAAATGCACTCAAGGACAGTCCTGCAAGATATCCTTTCAACTGGAGTGCATTTGCATGCTCTTAGTTAATATTGTATAAATTTTTAAAGCATTGCTATCTAGATTTATTTGGAGTTGTTTACTCTTTGACAAACATTTGGGTTATGCAGTTATATGAATTTCAGACATACTTCAAGTAATCCCTCTCTCTGGATTTACACACAGCAATTTGGATAGCCCCTATTTTATACTGTAAAATAGTGTGTATAGTTTTAAACATTCATTACTAGAATATGAAAATGGTTTTCGTTTTTTATCAAAGCAGTTACACAGTTTGAGCAAACAAGTGATTTTATCAGAAGTAATAAAAAGAGAATGTATGTTTTTAGAATTAAACTTCCTGACAGAATGATTTTGCATTGGGTGATAATTTACCCAGTTTACTTCAAGAGAACTTCCAGCATTAGCAGCAGAAGTAGCAGCAAATCCAGAAACAAAATAGGAAGGAACATAACAACAAGTTGTGCCTCTCTTTCAAATATTTGGAACTGCTGTTGCATGTTTTACCTGACACTTGCTCCCCACTCCCCAAACCTATACCTACAGTGCTGATCCTAGCAGAGATCAACAAAGAAATTGTACGTGGATTATAAATTCCCATCATACCATTTTGAAGACCTGGGAGTGCAGGAAGAAGCCAACAAGCAGCATTCTGTTGACACATAGAATGCTGTTTTTTAGTAATGGGTGTGTTGTGTCAGTTCAAGGAGAAGACAAACATAGGCCTTCAAACACAACTTTGCTTTATCACAGCATAACTAGATTGAGGCAAATGCTCTTCCCAGCAGCAAGAAGTGGAAGAGAATTGCAAGAGCACAGTCAAGCTAAAAAGCACTAACTTAACTCACTAGCATACAAAACAGAGTGCATTTGGAAATACCATGACTTCAGTCCTGCACAAAGTTGTGAACATCTAAGTGTCACTAATTTGGTGGAAGTTATGCACAAACAGCAGTGAAGATAGCAGCCCAGGTACTTTAAAAATAAAAAAAATCTTCAGGTATAACTTCTACTATGTTCACTTGTATATTCATTGGGTAGAAATGCTAATGCACAAGTACCTCTGTGTTGGAAGAGCTTAGGTTTGAACACAATGTTCGTAAATAACACAATAATAGCCTCCAGTTAAAAGAATTACAATAGCTTCTAAGAATGTTTTAGGCTTTTCAGTTCTCTGAAAATGAAAGAGTCTTTCAGTTATTTTAAAATCAAAAGGTAGTTGATTCCACATTTGTGGACTATTCAGCCACAACAATTAGCTATTTATTCATAATTTGCATTTAAGGGTTGGGCAGTTGGGGGGGAAATCAGGAAAGCATCTAGTAGGAAAAATCCCACGAATACAGTGTGTTTGATGATGCCCCTTCAAGCAGGAGTGGAAATGGTGGTGTGTGGTAATGATTCTGAGGCTAGAATTCTTGTTGAATTTCTGAAACTGCCAGTAACTCATAGCAAGGCCTTGGGCAAAATTTTGCGATTTCCTGATGCCTTCTGTTCTCACTATGTCCTAATTTTTGTGTGTGCAGTTGTGTCATGTGAGCCTAGGCTCTTTTGAACTACATAAGGAATGTTTGTTTAGGCTTCTACGTGCAAAAATGTAGGGATTAAAAGCTATCTGTGTACTAAAAATCGTGATGGAACAAGCGAAGGTCCACTTAGTACAGCATTCTGCCTCTTCTAAATATACATTTTCTGGATGTTCACAAACTCAGCATGATAGTTATGGCTATCCTAGGCGTTGGCAATTTGGAGCAGTATATTCATGGCCTGAAATTTCCATTAAGCCATAATTGCTAATAGCATTTACATTCATTGACTTCTCAGTTACTATTCCCTTGACGTTCAGTTACTGTGCTGGAAGCTGTGGTATGTTTCTTCTCCGTTTGGTCCATTGTTGGGCTTTCAGGTTTTCATACTTATTTGATCAGCTCCAATCAAACAACAAATGAGGATGTAAGTGTTTTTAACCTTTATTTAGTAACTATGTTTGTCATGGAAACAGCACACATGACAGTGTTTTCTGCTAAAACAAAGCACTGGATTGGACACATTGATGCCCTGTAGGGAACAGCCCCCTGGTGGCATTAATGTTTCATTTGGGCCCAAATCTTGTTTAGTGGTTAAAAATCTCCACTTCCTTATTCATAAGAATGGTCTTTAGGTCATTATGCATTAATGGGTGTTCTGCAAAAGCAATACTTTTGACTGGAGAGAATGCTTATTGAGAACGCTTCCTTCTTCAGCCTGCTTGTGCAGCTCTGTTCCAAACTTTGGAATAATGAAGTGGGAACCTAATGGCCAAGGTTGTGTTCTCTGGGTGGCATACCAAATTCCCTCCCTCAGTTTTATCCCCTTAGTCAATAGTGACTGGCTCAAGGTCACTTAGTGGGCTTCATAGCAAAATACAGATTTGAACCTGGGCGTTCCCAGTCCTACTCTGGCTCTCTAAATTGTTTCACTACTCTGGTTCTCTGACCTTGATGGATTGACCCAGACAGTGTTGCTTCCCAAGGACTTGCACAGGAAACAGTGGCCATGCAAGGGCAATAGCTGCATATGAAGTTTGGATACAGATTCAGTCTTTCCTGAGCTCTGTTCTTACAAGCTTTTGGAGAGTATACAAGACATTCCCCTTATAAGCCTATGAAGTTCACAGAGGTTCTGTGTTTTTAATGGGTTATTGTTTTGGTATTTCTATTTTTAATCATGTTATTGTTGGGAGCCTCCTCAGGCCTTAGAGAGACTGGATACAAACCCTTAAAATTAATAAATTAGATATCTCAGGGACCTCTGCATCATTGCAGAGACCCTTTTGAGCCAATCTGGCAGCATTTCAGCCTTCTCAGAGCTCAAATCCCCCAGAGGCTCTTTTGTGACGCAGAGATCTCTGAGGCATCTCTTCGCTGAGTGCTGGGAGGATTGAAATACTGCCAGTTGAATCAGAAATGATGCCTTGCACATAGCTGTTGGCCCCAGCAGTGCCATTTCCAAGCAAGTTCTTGAGAAATAGTATGCTGTCTGGGCCAACATCAGTGCTTGAAACAGCATTTCAAGCCAGCAGATATTCCTCTCAGAAGAAAAGAAGAGGATGCCGCTGAGGCCTTACCCTGGAACATTCTTTCCTTTTGCTTTGGATGCTTCCTTCCAGCATCCTCAGCCAGGGGAACGGACCCCTCCCCAACCAAGTTGCTCTGAGGGGGAATTATGTCACCACTGGGAAATAGCCCCCCAACTGCTTGGCAAGACAGTGCCCAGCCTCCGCAAACCAAGTAAGTTGGTCACTGCTGCTTTAGGAGTAAATAGACTGATTCGTTCAGGAGCTGCTTGTTGGGAAGGGTTCCAGTTTTGAAAAGAGCACGTTGGAGCTGTCTGGGAGTAAATCACATAGCTTGCCAGTTTAAGTTGCAAACTTGTGAGAAACAGTGTTACTTGAATGTGAAGATGGGGAACCTGTGGCCTTCCAGATGCTATTAGTGTCCAGCTCCTGTCAGCCCCAGCCAGCATGGCCAGTGGTCGGGGACAATGGAAGTTTCAGTCATCAGGATAACCACAGGCTCCCCATACCTGCTTTACTGAGAGACTAAAATTCCCTGTTATAAAATATAAGACTGTTTTTTTAGTTATGTTTATTTGGTTTTTACATTTAATTTGCTTTATTCCTGTTATAAGCAGCTCTGGGAATATGATTCAAGAATGATATTAAAACATTCGTAATATATAAATAAAAAGTGGAGCTGTCACCAGTGACATCCCAGGATGTGATTAGGATGGCAACAGCTGTTACATCCTGGAATGGAGAAACAGCTGGCACAGAGTATTCCTTTGCCCTTGGAGGGTATATGTGACAGTATGTTTCACAGGGGAATGTGGAACAGTGAGACGTTGTGACTAGAGTGGCATGTTTGGTTGTAGGTTTAGGTTGTAGGGTACTGTTGGGTCAGCCTGGTTTACCTTAGGAGAGTACAGAAGAGTTGTAGCACTTTGTATATTGAATAGTGCTACAAAAAGGTGCATTAACGTTCCTTTCTTACCAGATCAAGGGATCTTGGTCAAATAAAAGAGGTAAAGAAAACTTCAATCCATACAGCTATGGCAACATTTTCACTAACTGTTGTTCTGCACTCTGTGGGCCCATCTCTCCCAGGTAAGGGGTAAAATACAATTGTTCAGTATCTTCTCTTCCTTTTGGTCCTTAGTGCTCATTGGGTCAATTGTATGTAACTTGCAAAACCACATAGTTAATAATAATATAATGTGACATTTGAGTCCTCTAGTGTGGTGGTCATGTATGTTGTATGGTTTGCTGCTAATTGGACACTGGTACCACATAAGTCTGTTGTGTACCACCCATTCATCACTTGTGGAGCTTGCAGTAACTAGACTTTTGGAAGGAAGAACCTAAGCTATGATCTTCTGATGATCCACGACAATTGATTTGCTCTTCTCTCCAGATACAGCAATTACATTTTAAAATTGCTAGCAATACATTTAAAAGCTTGATATTGTAAACATTATTTATTGTTTATTTGATTGGAAATATATTAAAAATCTGTCGAGTGTGTTTTACACTTTAAAGTGGAGTACATTTCAGAATAAGAGCATGTTTAGAATGAGAAAAATACTGCTGCTACTATTCAGTTATGGTGTGGATATGCAACAGAAGGTTATAACATCCTTGCTTCCTGTTAAGTCTACCACTTCCCACACATTTTATAATGCTTATTTTATGTAAATGATGGCAAACCTGTTCAAAGTTTTAACTTGCAGATGTTCTACACTATTTTTGTTCTTTTTCACTTCTCACTGCTTATGGTAAGTTTTTTCCAGGCACCAATGCTAGGAATTTTTAAAAAATATTTGTCTAATTAAATGTATACACTACTTTTTCAATTAGAAATATACAAGGCAGTTTACAATAAAGTTAATATTCTGACCAGCACACAACAAAAACTGAGTAAAACTACTGCAAACATGGTTAAAAAAATATTAGGAGCACTGAAAGTCCAAGGTGACTGTTAAGAAGAAAATGCCTGTGCGAACAAAACCTGTTCCTGAAGTTAGTAAAATGGACACGAAGTGAGCAGCTCTGGGGGAAAGGCTCGAAATATGAGACATCAGTGCAGAAAAGGCCTGATTCCTGGTCACCAGTCACCTAACCTCTGTTGGGGGCATCCAGAGAAGGCCATTGAGGAAGATCTTAAATAATTAACAGTTTTAAGTGTGTGGTTAAATTTTTCGGCAATGATCTGTGGTAACAGAATTGTGTAAGTTCTCCCATTTCATGATACAACTCTGTTAAATTAACTAGCAGTTCCCCACTAGAAACTGAATAACCTTGTTATTCTGTAGAATGCATCCATAGTAAACTTTGATTAGAGTTTCTATTTCATTTTTTAAATGTTCCAGTCATTATTCTAATGTAAGCACCATTGAGTTAAATGAGGCTTAGTCTCAAGTTAGTGTGTATAGGATTGCAACCTTCAGAAAACTTCAGACCAACTGTTCCAGAGTGACTTATGGATTGCAGCCATTTTTCTTCCTCTTTTTATGTTGTCTCCAAGTTACAAATATATTGCAAAAACTCAGAAATGCAGCTTTCGTTTTTGCTACCAAACTCTTGGGAACAAATAAATCTATTTTACTGTTCCATTAAAAGAGGTATTGAAGCTATTCTCATATGGTTCATTGTTCTTAAGGTGAAACTTTTTTTCCTTTTAAAGCTGGACCAAAATTATCTAAGCAGAATTTTTTGTAACAAAACTTTTTATTATTCTGTAGCTTAATTGACAGAAGAGGATTTATGCAGCCAGATACTCCACAGCCAGCAGCACCCTCAAATGGCATTACAATGTATGGGGCCACACAGTCTCAGAGTAATATGGTAGGAACCATCCCATAATGTTGATCAAGAGCCCTGTGAATGTTTTCCTTCTCAGGTTTCCTGTGAACTAATCAAGTTGCTAAACTAACTGGATACTACTGGTTCTCATTTCATTGTTGTACTGTAGTAAACTGCAACAAACTTCTAGATTTTCATAAGCACTTGGGAGGGGGAAAGTAGTGTAATGGACAAAAGGAAAAGATTGTCTACCTCCAGACAGTTAAATATAGTGCCAAGAGAAGTTTTCATGTATGGTTGAAGTTTTGCCTGTCTTTGTTAGCCTTAGATGGACCTTGGATCTTCAATATCATATTTGTTGCTTTTAAATTCCTTTTTCCCAAAAGTTGTTGATTGTGTTGCAGAAATCCTTGCTGCCTGATACGTTTCTACAAAACTTGTCATATCAGCATGAATAGAATATTTATAGAGAAGTCTTTTAATTGCTTGTGAACATAGAGGTGGCCACTGTACTTGACTACTGCAAATTTCTAAATAATGTTTTTGTTTTTATAAATTGTGCCAATTACTCCCATTGTGTCTTCTTGAGAGCAATACATTTTTCTCCATGTGCCAAGAAGCAGAACCCAGCCTAAGGAAACTTTCTTAACCAAAAGTCCTCATTGGAGTAACCTTCTTCTAACATGTATGTTCTGAAATAGTGCCAACATTCCTTTGTATTTTTGGCTTCATGGATTTCTTCCTAGTCTCCGAGGCAAAGAAATAAAACCAATCCCAAGCATTTCAGATTTTTTGCACTTAACTGAAGCAAAGTTAGTTTTCATAGCTATGTGGATACTCTCTTAGAAATGAGAAACACATGATCAGTGGACTTATTAAGAATTGGTTCATTCATCATTTTTTCATATTTGTTAACAATATCTGTTTCTTAGATTTTAAAGATCAGACACATTTAACCGACTTCTAGTGTCAATTGTATCTTTGATAGCATTTTGAATGGTCATTCATAGTATGATCCTTTATATGTGTACTTGAGTGACATTTCCAGTTCCATGGATATAGGATTGCAGCCTTGTCTCATCTTGGCTGCTTTAATTTTCAGAACAACTCCAGAAGATTTTCTAAGTGGGGTGGCCTGAAAGGGGTGAATTATTTGCTTGCCTTATGTTTACACCAGTAGTTCTTAACACTGGGTCCCCTGGTTACTGTAGCCTTCAGAGAGCTTTGCCAGCTTGTAGGCAGAGATTATAAAACTATATCTCTAAGAGATTGCCAATAAATTGTTATATTTAAACGTTTTTCAGTTGTCAAATTATTGTAGTGTTTCTTTGCCTTATGGCAGTTTCTCTTCCTATATTGTTACATTGGGTCTTTACAGGGTAGTTTGAAACAAACCCACATGCTCCTGTTTTTAAGAAATAGTGTGTTCAGGCCACTACCATGGTTCGTTGTGTATGAACTGAAAATACCAATGCACACAGGAAGGGCCACGTACAGACCCACTTGTGTAGCTCACAGTCTCCCTCAGGTCTGGAGGCTCCCTTCCCACCATTATTCTTCCTTTCTGGTCTACAGCTAGCCTTACTTTTTCCTCTACTCCTTACCTGGCTTTAGCTTTCCGGACAACTTCCTTGCTATTTTTTCCCTGCCTGCTGTGCCACCTCTCCTTTCAGGCCCTGCTTTAATTTGGCTGTATCACAACTAGATAATGTAATCAGTTGCCACTTAAGACTCAGCCAAATGGCCAAGTTCAGAAATAAGTAGCAACTACTCCCTCTTCTCATACATTCTCTTTGACGTTTCTTTCACTTGCATACTTCTGCATCTTCACATTACGTGGAGGTGAAATCAACCCTGAAAAAAGTATGTGTGTGTCTGATGTAGCATATGTTGACCAGCTGCTGTTTCAACTATTTAGCTCTTTAGCCATAGTTACTCTGAAAAGTTAAATACAAAGGATATTGTGTTTATTGGGATAAAGGATGAAGCGTGGTCTTTTGGACAAATTTCCCCTTGCTAGAGAGCAATTTTTGTAAATGCATATAGATATAGATATATGCACATACACACACATGCACACACACACATATATATACTGCATGTAAAAAAAGAAACTAATTCTAACTGTCATCTCATGTTTTGGGGAGACTCCAGAGTTTATCAATCTTTCCACATAAATTAAATTTGTAAACTTAAATGCTTAAAAAGAGACCAAAAAAGAAAGCCAACCGAAATCACCAAAAATCACAATCAGGATTTTTCTTCCACCAGATTTAGAAGAAAAGGCAAGTATATTTATGTCAAAAAATTTAGGCACTTATGCCAATAAAAAGATGCAAAATATTACACATACCAGATTTTTTTAAAAGTCAATTATAGTTTCTCTTTTTTTTCCAAAAAAACAACCTAGTTATAATGAAATCTGAATTAAACACAAACATGTTAAAGCTCACACTTAGGATCTCTTCACAGTCAACCATGATCACCTGTCAAACAGATTTGAGTTAGTGGCTGCGTACCTAGTTTATGAGATTACGCATTATAAGGACACAGTAAGACAGTTCTATGTGCCTCCCCTCCCCTGCCATGGGCTTGCCATTGAAACTATTGACAAGCACGCCATCACACACACTAGGATTTAAGAGATGCCATTCTGTATATCAACAGGCTCACCCACTGCCTCTGTTAGTTGCAAATGAATATGGGCAACATGCAGGTGAACAGTATCTTCCTGTTAAGTGGCATGGACTTCTGTGAGCAGAATGGGACCCCTCCCTTTCCCTTCTTCTCCTTGCAGTATCCAGTCTGCTCTGGAGGGTCCCCCAACCAAAGGCCTGTTCTGGAGTATACCCAAAAGGGAGGAGCAGAGGAAGTTGAAGACCTATCATGCAAGCAGGCTTCCAATCACATAGCATCAGATATAACCCAATAGTTATACAACCAGTTAGTGGCCATGCTGGGGATTATTTCTAAATAGGGAACTTGATTTATAGCAGTGATTTTAAATTAATTTATCTTCTTTTTGATTTAAATCATGATGGACTCATTCAGAATTGGAATTTTTCATTTTAACACTGATACATAGAGTTTGCAATCCATTTTCTTAATATTCCTAAAACTAGGTGCAGATATTCAGTTGTGCTCCCACCAAACAACTCCTCCTAGTGATGACATATGATGTAAAGTTTTATCGCATTCCTTCAGATTTTTTCTCCTATAAGTATCCCAGGCTACATTCTAAAAGTTAGAGCCTGGCTATAGCTCAGTTGGTTGGCGCATGGTGCTGATAACACCAAGGTTGCAGGTTTGATCCCCATATGGGACAGCTGCATATTCCTGCATTTCAGGGGGTTGGACTAGATTATCCTTAGGGTCCCTTCCAACTCTATGTTCCTATGATCTATACATTATTTTAATCTCTGCAGACTGATTTTTCATGCCTTTTTGTTGTCATTGTTCTCGGTATCCAGGTCTGTTGTGATTCTGTGAATTTGTTGTGCCATTTGCTTTTTTATCATCTTGTGATCATAAAGATTTGTAAGAAGATGAGCTCAAATGGTAAACTCCATAGCAGCACTTTTAAACGCCTCTCCCCTCTGATAAATATTTTTAGCTCTAGCCTTTTTGCAGTAAATCAGGCAATCCATGTACCATAGTTCTTAATTCAAAAGAACTTGCTGGTGTGAAATTTGAAAGTAAAAGACAACTGAAATCTTTCTGATCCATCTAGTTTATGCTTTTTCTCTATAATGGCCTCAAAAAGCAAAATCTCTTTATTACTATACTTTAGACACCACTGCTTTACTTCCTAAATGTTAAACAGTATTTGGTTTTTTATGTTTTCTCTCAATATTTCCGTTATTTTAATAGGGAACTGAAGTTAGATTAACCAGGTGGTAATTGCCAGGATCACCCTTTCCTTTTTGAAGGTTGGTAGTATATTTTGGTTCCCCCCTTTCTAGTACACATCCAGTTCTTCATCACTTTTTAGTAGTTTTGTGAATTCATTAACCAATTCCCTTACACCATAGAAATGTGCCATAAGAATCCACAGACTTGCTGATTATTCATTATTCCTAAACATGTTATCTTTTCATTAGAAGCTATGGCTGCAATCCACTTACACTAGGAAAAAAATTGCTTAATCGGAAGATAACTGCTGATTCAGTGTTGTGGATTGTGTCCTATTTCTCTCTTCATAACTGACCAACTCAACCCATTTTTCTTATTTTTGAAGAGAGTTCTGTGCAAGTAAGCATTTCAGCCATTTTAGAAAAACCTGTTCCTTCCACATTTCTCATTTGTATATTAACTGTTGCTGGATCTACAATAGTTTCAATATTCTATTGTCCTTTCTGTGCCAATACCTTTCTGCAATATACTTTCTTCCTTTTTCCTTTTGCAACTTTATAATAATGTTGTAATAATAACATTTATTCAATTTCTGTTTCAAGTTTAGGATATTTCTCCTAGTTTATTTAGGGATGCGGATGACACAAATCTCTGAATGGTTAACCATGGTTAATTTAGGATTGAAATTTCCATATGCCTTTCAATTAGAAATTTCTAGGGCAATTAAATTGCAGGTAAAAGCAATCAAACTAAAATGACAGCAAGCTCTTAAAAATAAGATTTGTTTAAAAGTCATAGGGCTAAACATGAGTCTTTAAAGTCCAGAAAAAATGCAAATATGCTTGTATTGCATCAAAGTACAATAAGGAGGCATCAGGCAGACTTCTCTGAGAGCATTCCTTAATTTGGAGGTCACCTTGCTTTATAGATGATGGGCACCAACATATAGCCTTTCACAGAAGATCTAACCTATAAGTAGGAACTAATGAAGATAGGCAGCTCTCCCAATTATCTGGTCCTAAGCCATAAGGCCTTTTGAGGTTAAAAAATAGAATCACTTTGGCATGGAAACTGACTGGGAGCCCATGGGAGCAGCATAACACCAGTGTGATGTGATCATAACACTCAGTCTCGGTTAATTCAGTATGTGGCTACAACAATACCAACTGCAGATTCTCTGCAGTCATCAG